TTTTGTAATTTGTCAATAGTTTTTTTTAAGCTACTTATTAAAAAAGTTGATTCTTGAGCTTCAGTGAACTCATTATGATTAAAAGGTGAATTAATATTAATTTCTTCTTTATCTACTACTACCACTGGTACTGGTTCAACCATAAAGTCAACAGAGTTTTTTGTAGCGAAGTTGACACTAACTAACGAGGAACTAGAACATAACTGTTTAACAGTAATGGTGTCTTGATTTTGATCAATTATTGTATTAAAGTATGTATTAGACTTTACATTTGATTTGTATTTTTTAAGTAAAAGCTGTGTGGAGTTATTATACTGTTTCTATTTAGATGTCGAGAGCTAGGGCACAAAAAAGCAACTTTATGCCTAGGATCATATCCAAAGTTCTCAGTGGGATAAAGATTTTTTATAGTAGGCTCTTTATCTTTAAAATGATTAGAACAAACTCGTGCATCTTTCTTTGAGCAGAAAAAATCATTTGTCCCAGTAGTGTTTCAGCGGTTAATTAGTTTGATCCAAATTTCACATTGGGAGGGAGATTTTTTGATAATTGGAAGAGGAAATAAATGAAAAGGCGATGCACAATTACATCAAATATCTTCTTTTCTACATTTATGTTCAGTGCATATTTTATATTTCCATTTCATAAGTCTATAGTTTATTATTATTTCATAAGTCAAAAGTCGAACCTCCTAAGGAAATATGAATTTACTTCGGATATCCGAAATTTCGAATAAACAAAAAACCTCTTTAAAGTAAATTATTTCAAGTTACAATTAGTTTTTTCTTTTAATTTTTATTTTAGATGCCCCTAAAGGTCTTAACACTGTTAGTAACAGTCTTGTTACGGAGCACTAAGGAATAGCATTTAAAAGAGGAAAATGAAAAAAAAAAGAAAGGTTTTTGTCGGAAGCTGTGGTTAAAATAAAAAAACTCGACAGCGTTGTAAATAGGGATATTTACAACGCTGTCGAGTTTGCTTTATTTTAACCACAGCTTCATACCTTGAAATGATCGTAACAAATTCATACCTTGAGAGAATTGTGGGCAAATGGGTATGCTTCCAATGCCGTTCCGAGGGGAAGATCGACCTTATATTATTACAATGACCTTATTTTTTTTAATCGTTAAAATCTTTTTTTCTTGGTCTTAGTTGGCAAAAAAACAGATATATCACTTCCCGCCCTCCTTTAAGATCACTTTGGGAAGAACCCTCCTTGAAATCCATAAGGTTGTTTTCTATTGTAAAAACTAAAGCTTTCTCCCTAATGATGTGTCACCCAATTGCTACATTTTGTTCACGTGTGTTCATAAACCATTTATATACAGCTTTATCAACGGAATCATGCTTTCCAAAACCTAACTTTTGTCTCTTTGCTCCAAATGAACTAGACTCTTTATGATTATGTTTTGAGGAACACTAAACTATATAGCGATAATCTTTTGAGTTTTACCTTTTTCCGAATCTTTAAAAGCCAGATTTTTGGTTGTCAGTACTGCCTTCTTTCGCTTAGACCGCCATGAAATTTACACTACGTTTAATTTGTTCAAATTTTTTTATACTTTGATAACTTTGTTGTTTTTTTTACATACATAGATACTTATATTTTGATAACGTTCGATAAAGCTATGTTTCGAAATGCAAACTTCGAATAACTGACAGGGTGATTGACGTCGGGAACAAATAATTGGTTTGAATAAACGGAATTTTGAACTGTAGGTTCGAATAAAAGTGGTAGTAAAAAACTGTAACGGTAAGTTCGAATAAGAGTGGGTTTTCATTTACAAGAAATTTTTCGCGAACAGAACGGAAAAGAAAATTATCCAATCATGCAACATAAAAATTGCGCATCTTGCTACATGATTGGATGATTTTCTTTTACTTTCCGTTCGGCGGAAAATTTGCTTTAACTGGAAATCTACCTTAACTGATGGGTATTTGCATCGGATTGTTAAGGAAAATTCTCGGGAATAAAAATTGTGTCAGCAGGAAATTCGAATAAGTCCCAGTTCGAACAACTGGGAGTTTACTGTATTTAAAAGAAGATTGTTGATTTATCCATAATTTTTGCAAACGCCTTATCTTTACCGTTACTTATTTGAATCTGGAGCTTATATTGTTACTATATAATATAATAATATATTATTTTATTTAGTAATATATTATTATATTAACGTAATGTATTATGATATTATTATAATATATTTTTATTATAACTAAAGATATAGTATGATATAGTAATTTTACATATCTATATGTAAAACTACTATATCATATAGTAGTTGATAAAAATCTAAGGTTTCAAATAAAAAAAAGTTATTGTCTATTGGTAAAAGGCTTGCATTTTAACTGTCAATCCAAATAAAACTTTTTTGTTTGGATCGACAGGTTCACTACCTTCGATAAATCCTCAAGTTAAGAGCTTTTCATTGCCAAATCCTTTATGCAGGATATAGTAGTTTCTCATATTCCTAAAGCTCAACTCAAAGAAATCAACTTTTTCTTCTAAAGCACATGAAAGTTAATTTAAATATTTACATTTAAAAAGATCAATGTTTAATACATTTGTGTCTAACCTTTCCTTTAAAAAAAAAAAAAACTCAAAAATTGAACTAAGGGTCATGTATATTTTTTTTGGAAATATATAAAGCAATCAATGTAACGGTTAGTTTAGTTATTGATATAGCTAAATTCCTTTTGAAAATTGTTTTCAGTATGTTTGAATTGAATAACTATGACAGGATTCATTAGATAATTATTATGGCCAACAGCGAGCTATAGGAAGAAGAAAGGGTAACCCATTTTTTAATGATATTTGATATAATAACAATAATTCAATAAGGAACCAATGTACTTTCAAACCAATTAAAAAAACTAATAATCTTGTTAATAAAATCTTGAACAATAATCCAAAGTCTACAAAAATGGCTATTTTAATAGCCACAAATCTTATAAAAATATTATTTGGTATAAAATTAAAGATGAAAAAATTTACCTTTAAAACAAAAGTACCATATATGTACCATATTTTGTAGTTAAACCAATTGTTTTCATCATTACATTATATGATATGATTATTAAAAAAAAAAAAAAATTACACAGCTTTATTTAGTTATTTAACTTTATTATTGCATCTTTCAATCATACTGCAATACAGTTCAAATGCTAGAATATGTTTTTAATAATTTTTTGGCTATTATAATAACCTTTATTAAATGTCTAACAATTGTTCAGTGGAGTTTAAAGACCCTTTCTTGATTTATTTTCTGAATTAATTTGTTATTTTTATTATAGACTTGATTTTATTCCAGCTTAAAAGCTCCTTTAAATAGGATAATGAGCGAACACAAAAATAAAGTGGTAAGAGATGCTCTAGATGGTTGAGAGACACTTCTTTAAATGTCTTGGTAATATTAAAACAATTTTTTGAAAAGTAAGATAAACCTCAGCATCTAAAAGCAGTTTTCCCATCAGTTAGCTTCTTATCTTTAGGAACTTTTTTGTTGATTTTCTGAATGCTAATTCTGCTATTCTATGTTGTAAAAAAAGCATCAGATAATACAGACAGAAGATCACCTCGATTTTTAAATTATTATATCTTGTATTAAAACCACAATTACATTCTTCAAAAAGATTTATTCTGTAATTTTTTCAGCCAACAAAATTAAGAGTTTTTTTCAACAATTCAACTTTGCCAACTTTCGAATAACATATTCTTTAAGAGTACTAAATACGTATCCACCAAAGTATTCAACTAAATTTTTTTTGTTTTCTGATTTCTAAATATGATTAGCATGGATATATGCTACAAAAGGTGAAGATCTGTGAGAAAAATCCTTTCTGACCTGAATATAATAAAATTTTGGATAAAAAACTCCTATATCACTCTAGATACCTACTATAGCTTCTTTTTATTAACTTGAGTGATAGCTTTGTATCATCTTCGAAGAATATGTACTTTGAAAGCTTATCTCTGATATATGGAAGGCATCAAAGATCATTTATAACAATAACAATGCAACAAAGATCGTTTATAACAATAATGATGTATTTTTGAACAAAATTAATTAACTTGTCTGTAGAACACGTTTGCTTAACCTCAGTTTATGCATTTATTTGCTGTGTTAAAGAGACACTATTTAAATGCTGCTTTGTTATGTGACGTTTGAATTTATGCTTATCCGACTCACATTTTTATCATACACTGGTAGAAGTAAATTTAGTTGAGGCTTTTTTTCTCTCAATTTCAATAATAAAAAAACTACAGTTATTGTTAAATTTATGTTTTCAAAAAAAAAAATCTGATTCTACATCTAATATGAAATATTCGATGAACTATTCATCTGTTAAGTTCGCCATTTTTTAGATTTGTGTGCACTTATTGGTAGTCTGGACACGATAAATAAACTTTTTTCAACATAAATCAGTCATAAAATACATCCGTTATTAACACTATAATTCAACACTAAAATAAAATACATCTGTTATTATGACTATGGTTCGACATTAAAAACGTAAAAAAAAAGAGTTTTTTTTTTCACAGACATCACCCCAAAACTAATATTATGCGCTTAAGCACATCTCATTGCGTCCTTGACTGTATTATTAAGCGTGAATAATAATAATAATAATAAATATAACGGCTTTGGTGAGTGGAATTAAACACGCACTAATCCAAAATCATATAAATATATTAAATTTTACTTTTATATTTAATATTGTAATTATTTATTATGATATTATATGCATGTATTACTATGTAATAATATCATATGTATGTAATACTGTGATACTAACTTTATATATGTTGTATTTCAGTTATCTTGTTTTTTTGTTATAAAGTTAAATTTAATAGTTATCGTTAGGAGTTGGATAATTTGAATTGGACTTTAGTTATTTGTATATATAGTTCGGCAATCGGTGATTAAAATGAGCTTGTTATAAGTTATAACATTATAATTTTAATATCGTCGAAAAGAAACTCCTAGAATAAAAGACACGCACCTAAAACGCACGAAACCCTATAAATTATTTGGTTTGCAAAGGGTATATGTGTACAAACTTTCTATGATATTTAACTATGACCAGTTAACTTGCACCAAGTTAATTTAGTTTTTGTTTTGTTGTTTCAAAGTTAAATCTTATAGTTAGAGCTTTTATAAAATTATTTTATTAGTAATCTAGTAGTTGGATTTTTTCTAAAATGATGTTATGAGTACATTAGTTTTATGAGTATTCAGAATACAAATAAAAAAAGTGTGCAAATTGTCTAAAGTTTGCACGTTTTTTCTGGATACTTATAAAACCTAGCATTTTCAGATACCTTACATAACAACAGCAACAACAACAACAATATATTTGCTAGAAATATAGATATACATAGATTGGCGGATGTGTATTTCAGGCACCCCCTCCTACCTTCTTGGTGTAAATAAAAATTGTTAATTCAATAATCGATATTGGTTCACTGTTATAGTAGAGCTAAATTTTGGAGAATGACAATAGCCAAATAATTAGTTAACAATCCAAAAAGAACAGCAGCGTCAATAAAAAATAAATTACATTTAGGTGTCATACATGTGTGTGTGTGTGTATATATATATATATATATATATATATATATATATATATATATATATATATATATATATATATATATATATATATATATATATATATATATATATGTATAATTCTGCAGGTAAACGGCCTAAACTAAATTTATTTTAGCACTCTTGTTCATAAAGAATTCAAAAGCATCTAAAAATATTTATTATAAGTATTATTGTAAATATTATTTTATTAATAACGATAATAATCAATTTTATAAATTATTATTATTAAAATGTAAATATCTAGCTGGTTTTTAGTTATTGTATTTAAAATTATTTAAAATTACATTTGTTATTTTTTGAATGTAATCCAAATTTTTGAACCACATTAAGATTTTTTGTCATTTAATAATAAGAAAAATCAATTAACCAGCAACAAATATATTATGGATAATAAACTTCCATCATGCAGAAAGCTATTAAAAGTTACAAAATTATTAACCAAAGGGCTATATAAATGCAGACTTAAATTAATTATTTATCACTCTGTGAATTGTCTTTTCAGTAATTTTTGTTTATAAGCAGCACCAGGATTATGATGTTTCATTCACCAGCAATAGTTAGCCATCATATTCACATTCCATTGACCTTAATATTGACACATGATTGCACAAATGTCCTGATAGAACCTTTCATCCTGCTCTCACTGTATGCACTAAGATTTGCAGGAAAGTAGTCCACATGGGAGTCCAAAAAAGGGCGACTTGGCTAATGCAGCTAATGCGGCAAGCAAAAGCCCAAAGTTTGACTTCTATGTTCTTAACAAGACTTCTGTAATTTTCTTACTTAAAGTTACTTAAAAAAACCTCTTTGAGGGCATTCCAGGCTTACAGTTCAAATGTCGCCAATTTAGAACAAACAAGGGCGCACAAGATTTTTTGATGTTTCAGGTATGTCACTTTCAGATATTGTGGTAAGTCCAAACTTAAGTATGTTCATGCCTATGCCAAATGAAGAGGCTTTGCAAAAAATTATCGTTATGGAGGTCTAAGAACAAAAATACCCCCAAAATTTTGGCACCCCTTGTCCAAATGTGTGGATAGTTATGTAGTAAAATTTTCAACAATACTATTTTATACTATATTTTAATTCATTGACAGGTTTTGAATTTTTTTCAAAAGTATTGTAAATTATAAAAGTTATTACCGAACAAAATTTCCACACACCCCCTACTTCCAAAATGAGTGGTTTATAAATTTGAAAGTTGATGTTTCAGATATGACACATGAAAGTGTCATATCTGAAAAATCAAAAAATCTTTGTGGCGATCCTGCCAACAAAGATTCATCTTTGCTTCACTTTAATGTGGAAATTTGTCTGACAAATAAAGAAATTCAGAGTGGTATGGTCTATACTCTTTATAAAAAACTTTCCTCAACTTTATGTGGAGTGGTAGAAAGAAAACTTATTCTACCGTAAGCCATAACTTGAAATAGTAATTTCATGTGGTAAATTCTTCTCTTGCTAATGCTTAAAGTCTGCTCTGCTAACCTAGAGGCACAGATAAAATAGAAATTTTTTATACCCTTCTTGGAGCCCAAATATGATGGCTATGACCTTAAAATTCCCACATATCAACCACTTGTGCAGGTCATAATTCAAAAGGCTGAGCAACTTTGATATTTTCATGTCTCTTGCAGTGTTACAGGTTGTGCCACTGGAAGCAATAATTAAATTGAAGAACTGTTTTCATACTGGGGTTTAATGAATCATTAAACAATCTCCACTGATTTGCATCGTAAGCAATTCCCATAGATGTGACACGACCTTCAATATTAATACAATATAACAAGTCTTGCTTACTTGAAAAGAGCTTTACAAATTCTGATTCCTGATATCTGTATACACCTATATTACTCTGGTGTGAGAAAGTTCCTTTCTTATAAGTGGAATGCAACCAGTTCTGCTGATGATTTTGAAAGATCAAGATCTCAAATTTTATTATCAATATCTTCCTGAGTAAGGAGTTTTGTTGTGATTTCTAAAAATATCCCTAATATCTTCAAAACTTAAGTTGTTATCATTTTCAATATCATTCAGCTGAGTAGGAGCAGTAGGCACAGGAATGTCTGCAGAGTGTCCTACAGGCCTCATCCACGGTATCCTACAAGGCTGATGGTATATAAGAATTTTAAATATTTATTAAATTTGTCCAGTTTACATATTTTTTTTGTCAAGTGTGATATTTTTTTCTTTCATTGTTAAAAAGCTTTCAGAGATTTATTATGTTTTATTTGCAGTTTTTTTTTGTGTAAACCAGTGTTCAACACTATAACATGATGTAACACATTACAATTTGTACTTTAATGCAAGTTAATATAATAATAATACTAATAGTAATAATAGTATTAATTTTTATATTTATAATGTATATTATTTATATACTATGAATATAATTAAAAAAGTAATTATATATATATATATATATATATATATATATATATATATATATATATATATATATATATATATATATATATATATATATATATATATATATTTAGGTCAGGTCAGGTTTTCCTGCTACTGGTAACATGTAACCCAGTACAACCTGCTCCATGTCCTGCTGCCTTGTAGGATACGCTTTTTTAGGCAAAGGCTAGGAGAAGTTAACTCTGAATTAAAACACCCCCTGCCTTGGGGCTCTTGGTTGAGTAAAGGCTAGAGATGGTGTTTCGATAAAAATACTCATCTTGGGCAGATGTTACATGCATCCAGCTGCTGTCTTGTAGAAGGCCTCCTAGGCAAAGACTTAAGGGGTAAACAGATTCTATCTGTTGACCAGCCTCGCACCCCTTCCTCATCTATTAGGCTGGCGCAGATGTATTTTTAATACATTGTTTCCAGTTTAGGATGTTGAACGCTGGATCTTCTTGACTCAATGCGTGGGTATTGCTTGTGTCTCTATTTTTATGACTGGGCAACTCATTCTATTATCTCCTAATGAGGGTACAGCTCTAAAACTCAGTTTTATGGTTCTGAGGCCGGCTGGTAGTCAGGTTTCCCGAACTCTGTGGTAGCTCTCAGAGAGGCTGATTCCATCAACAGCCGAAAAATATCAGAGTACTAACAGTGCCATGTTGCGCATGGATGGTGTCCCTGTTTGTACTTTTGGTGTGCATTGCAGAGGCCACATTTGGAGCCCTTTGTTACGGCTTAGGGTTTATTAATAGTAATGAGGCTATTGCTTAGTTGTTAAATAGTGTACTGAGTACTATCTATACTTGAGTCAAGTTCTTTATAAATTTGAAATGACTAAAGTACCTAAAACTAAAAAACACAAAAAACCATTGTCATCACCAAGTTCTCTAAACCTATCATTTACTAATATTCGTGGTCTTCGAAGTAACTTTTCTTCTGTTGAGTCTTATCTCTTACAAAGTTCACCAGACCTACTTGCTCTTTGTGAGACTAATTTGAGTTCGGCTGTCCCATCTTGTGATCTTAGTGTTGATGGTTATCTTCCTTTAATTCGTAAAGACTCCAATAATCACATGCTTGGACTGGGCATCTACATTCGTAAGAACTCACCCATTTGTCATGAAACTAGGTTTGAATCTACAGACTATTCATTTATGTGCTTTCGTTTAGCACAACTTCACTCTATCTCTAAATATTAGGGTGTCCCAAAAAACAACATTTTTGAAAATAATCTGCTCTCACCCCCTAAATGTGTTCTATTTAATACAAAAACACTAGGTTTAAATTTTTTTTGAATAAAAAATATTTAAAGGGGTCCCTCAAGACCCTTGAATATTTAATGGGTCCCTAATATTTTCGAAAAAAAAGTTTTTCAAAAATATGTCAACCTGGTACTCAAATGAAGCGAAATTATATAAATATTTCAAAAATAATATTCATTTCGAAATATTTTTAACTTATTTATCAAAATTATCATAAAAAAACATTAGAAATGCATTTTTTTCATTTTTTATTAAAAAACGCAATTTTTTATGTAATAAAACCAAAAATAACAATTTTGTTTCGAAATGAATATTATTTTTAAAATTTTAATATAATTTCGCTTCATTTGAGTTATATATATATATATATATATATATATATATATATATATATATATATATATATATATATATATATATATATATTTATATATATATATATATATATATATATATATATATATATATATATATATATATATATATATATATATATATATATATATATATATATATAATTTGTGTATATGTATACAGAAATGGATTCAAACAATGAAAGCAGTATTGAAAGGTCTTGTGGTATTTATCTGGTGGAAAAAATAGTTGGCGTTTATGTTGGAGAGGTTTAAAAATTACTTGATATAAAATATCGATAATGCGAACTTGATTGCATTTGCATCAAGTTTGCATTATTAATATTTTAATAAAGGATCCTACAGTACTTTTTTTTTATGCTTGCATATTCAAAATTAATAATTAAAAAAAAATAAAAAAATTAACAGAATTTATAAATAATAAAACATAAATCAGGAATAAGGAAAAAACTCTTTTTACCAAACTGCAACAGAATATTGTATAAAATAATTTTACCTCTACAGATTAGAGATGAACAGATTTAACAAGATACTGCAGTGTATTTCTGGTTAGTAATTTAATCAAAAATCATAATATAAATAGTCATTTTTTTTTAAAAAGTATGAACCCATTTTTATGTCCATTTATTAAGTTTCTTAAAGTACTCTCTAGCCCTAAAGTAAAGATATTAACTTCTCTTATATCATACAATAGATATACTCTATATAATAAGGAAATAAAGTACATATGCTCTATACAATAATGACAAGCTTTATATTTATTTAATTTTAAAATTTATATATTGATTTAAATTTTAAGATTTGACTTTAAATTTTTCATTTTCAAATTTAGAATATTTTTGATGAAAATTTTAATTTCTCAGTAATCAAGCAAATACAGTTTTATCATTTATTTTGAAAATGCTAAGGGCCTCCTTTTTAAATCAAAGTTTTTTTTTAAGATTATTTTTGGACTTTGTTTTAACTATAGTTTCAATTTGTGTTCTTGTTGCAAACCAAGTTGGTTTTAAAAGAGTATACTTTCTTTAAGAAAGGCCAAATTTAATTTTTTTTCAATTTAAACTTAAGTACTTTGGGATCCCTTTTATTTTTACAAAAATAATCAGCTGAAGTTTTTCCTTAACAAAAAGTTTCAATTTACAAAGGATAACAAGCGATATTACAATGTAAAGTGGGCAGACTCATGGGAGCCAGAAGACAATCTTTCAGAATCATGTCAAAGATTAATTAAAGATTTTTGGAAAGAAAAAACAATTGATCCACTATTGGGTAAAGATGTCTCAATATCAGAAATAAAGGTTATTTAAATTTTTAAGTATTGTTTATGTTGCTAGTGGTAATCAGTTTTTAGAAACAACAGATTTTTTTTTCTTAATCTTTATATATAAATAAGTAAATAAATAAATACATATGTTTACCCGCAGCTACTGTGTTTTTCCAGGATAGTGGATATAACACTTGCTTAGCTGTGCAACAAATTATTTTGTTAGTAAAAAATTTTAATAATAATGTTCAAGAGATTTTAATTAACATTCAAGAGTTTTCTGGTAGAAGATTTCACCATTCATCATTAAATAAGATTTTAGTTTTTTCTTAAAAATAGTTGTGTTTTTTTTTGTCACTGATGTTTTTTGGAAGTATATTCCAAAGTTTAGGACCATAGTGGGATAATGCTCAATTACCAAAACGATTGCTGCATTTTGTTTCCATTAATTTTAGTATTCTTTCTGACATTGAGTAGTGAATTAAATTGGATAATGACGTTGGTGCTTCCAGTATAATAGATTTGTACATTATTAAAAGGACCTTGAAATATATTCTTTCTCTAATTTTCAGCCAATGCAATTTGTTAAATTTCTAGTCGTTTACATGATTTTCTATTCTAATTTTAAATATATATATATATATATATATATATATATATATATATATATATATATATATATATATATATATATATATGTATATATATATATATATATATATATATTTATATATATATATATATGTGTGTGTGTGTGTGTGTGTGTGTGTGTGTGTGTGTGTGTGTGTGTGTCTATATATATATATATATATATATATATATATATATATATATATATATCAGGCTTGGTCCGGATGCGGGTGCAATCGCACTCGATAATTGACTGCAGAAATAATATTTAGTTGCGAAAAACCTGCCAGATTTTTTAGCTGTTTTGAGAACATTTCAAAAACAAACAAAAAAGTGCAATAAGATTAACTGGACCAATGAGAGACAATAAAAAAAGAAAAAAAGCTTTTAACACGAAAAAAACTTTAAGCAAAATAAATACGATTGGAGCAATTATTTTTCAAACGTCGCTCTTTTATAATTTTTTTTAAAAAGTTAAGTGACATTTTCTATATAAAGTAACAACTTATAAAGAAACAAATGTTCTTTGATTTATCAAAGAGTATATATAATTTTTATTTTCATACTTATGTCTTATTTCCAGTTGCGGATTGAGGAGATGGGGTGGGGGTAGTGGAGCTAAAGCCCAGGGACTCACAATGTCAGGGGAAATAGTCAAGAGGACCATTCGGTATTTTTTTTAGTCATTTTTACGCTGTGGCACATAAAAAAGGCCGCCAAAATAATGCAGCCCCCGGCCCTGAAAAGTCCAACAAGGTTCAATAAAACTAACGCTAGATGATTTATTTATAAATAAAAAGTTTTTTCAATAACTGTTTTGTGCTTCGCGTAGTTTAAAAAGTTTAACACATTTTAAACAATTCTTCTTAGTAAGATGAACAAATGAAATAATTAAATCATTGAGTTACTGTAGAAATTCAATTAGCTAGATATTAGTTAACTAAAAACGTTAAATTACTTTGTGAGGAGGAAGCGGAACTGCTTCACAATAATGCTGATGATGTTTAGTGAGTGGGCTTTATAATTTTAATTAGTTTTTAAAACAGAAAAAAGTAACTTTAAGTATAACGAGTTTGTAAGAATGGCTGAAGCAAAAATAATTGAAGTTAGTAAACCAATTTCTAAGAACTTAAAAATTTTTCTTTCTTGGGGGAAAGAATCAGTTATCGGGTTCACTAAGGAAAATGGATTAGTGATTAAAATTATTTGTATTAACTTTGACAATTATTAATAATTTCATTGAAAACGCAGTTATTATTGAAAGTATTTTTGTTTACAAAGTCAATCGCACAAATTGCTTTAAAAGATTACATTTGAATAAAATACACATACATAAGATTACATACATAAAAATACATTACATATATAAAAGATTACATACATAAAAATACATTACATACATAAAAATACATCCCTTATATATATAAAATAAGAATATACTAATAAAATCTATAATATATTTACAAAACGTTGACAAGTTAAAAAATATAAATTTAAAACATTTGTTATTGTAAACAAATAATGTTAGAATTAAAATAATTATTCATTTGATAGTATATTCCTAAAATTATTTATGCTAGAAATCTCACGAAAACGTAACAAAGTTCAAATAATACAATTTTTAAAAATATTTAAACAGAATACTCAGGACATTCAGTTAGTATTTTTTGAATACTCTAGAAATTTCGGTTAGTATTTTTTGAATCAATAGAATTAGATTTGGCAGGTTTTGTGTTCGCCAAAATTCTTTTTTTATTTTTCCGCACTAAGATGTTTTTCCGCACTAAAATGAGAACATTGAAGTTTATGAATGTTTCCATGTAAGTCCGTAAAACAAAATATTTTAAAATTTAAGATAAAATGAACTTATTATTTTGCGGACAAACAAGGAAACATACATAAACTTAAATGTTCTCAAAATGACTAAAAAATCTGGCCGGTTTTTCGCAACTAAATATTGTTTTATCGAGTTATCGAGTGCGATCGCACCCGCTTCCCGACAAAGCCTGATATATATATATATATATATATATATATATATATATATATATATATATATATATATATATATATATATATATATATATATATATATATATATATATATATATATATATATATATATATATATATATATATATATATATATATATATATATATATATATATATATAGAATAGAATAGAATAGAATAGAATAGAATAGAATAGAATAGAATAGAAAAGGTGCTGTACACACTTGAGGTGTGTAGAGTCTTAAATACGTAGAATTAAGACTATGACAGCCGATTACAAAAATTAGTGTTCAGAAACTGAAATAATTATCGATACTGTTTTTAAAAATGTTCAAATTATCTTTATCTAATATCCATTGTGGAAGAGAATTCCAATCATTTATAACTCTGTTTGTAAAGAAATGGTGACGAATTCTTGATTTTGTAAATTGTCTGCGTATTCTACAATTGTTACTTCTACTAGATCGCTCCAGCTCAAAATTTAAAGGAGGGTGGTGAAAATTAACAATATCTTTCCCTTTTGAGATCTTATACATTTGAATCAGATCACCTCTTCTTCTTCTATCAAACAAAGTTGGCAATTCAAGTATCTTTAATCTTTCTTCATATGACTTCCCCCTTAAAGATTCAATTCTCGTAGCCCTGTGTTGCACGATTTCAAGATTGTCAATGTCCTTTTTTCAAAATGGACTCCAAACTGTTGCTCCATATTCCAAATGGGGACGTACTAACGATTTGTATAGTAACTTTAATGAAAGTTCATCCAAATACTCAAAAGAGTTTTTGATCATGCCTAATTTTCTGTTTGCTTTACCTATAGCTGAATTAATATGATATTTCCACTCTAGATTATTTGAAATGAAAATCCCAAGATCATTTTCTATCATTGTTTCTGTTAAAACAGAGTTGTTCAATTTATATTCATATCTTGGATTCTTTTTGCCAATATACATGACTTTACATTTTGATTCATTAAATGTAATTAACCAATCTTCAGACAATTTAACTAACCTGTTAATATCCTCTTGTAATATTTTATTATCATCATAACAATGATTGATTGAAATAACTTTGGTATCGTCTGCATATAATTTAGTGTCTTTAATAATCCCTCTACATAAGTCATTAATGAAGATTACAAACAAAAGAGGTCCGAGTACTGAACCTTGTGGTACTCCGCTAGTAACCATCTTCCAACTTGAAATATATCCCCCTATCACAACCCTCTGTGTTCGGTCTGACAAAAATGATTTACACCAATTTAACAAAGATGATACAAATCCTAGTCATAATAATCTTTTCAGTAATTTCGTGTGAGAGACTGAATCAAATGCTTTTTTAAAATCCAAAAATAAAACATCAACAGAAATATCCTCTTCATACGCTTGCGTGATTAAATCTAATGTTTCTAACAGGTTTGTTATACAACTTTTGTTATTAACAAAACCATGTTGCTCTTTAGAAATTAAATTGTTTTCAATGAGGAACACCATCATATGATCTTTAATAATTCGATCCCCACCACGTCCCTGGTAGTACCCCGCTCAACTCGTTTCTCCGTGCAGCGGCCTTGCTCGTAAAGGTTCGTGTTTCGGAGTTATAGAGTTAAGAGAGGGTTATAACCACAAATAAGTAGCCTCCTCGTCTGTAGTGGCCTTCTCTGCCTTGAGGAGGTGAATTAAAATAAAAAAAAAAAATTCTCTCCATAACTTTACCAACAATTGATGTTAATGAAACCGGTCTATAATTTGTTGGATCTAGTTTATTTCCTTTTTTGAATAACGGAACAACGTTTGCACATGACCATAACTATGGAATAGATCCTGTAATAAACGATTTAAGAAATATTATTTCTAAAGAACTTGACAAAGATTTTGAACATTCCTTTAAAACTTTTGGGTGAACATTATCTGCACCTACTGATTTGTACATGTTTAAATTACTCAAATGTTTCTGAATAATAGAAATACTAAAATCTGGATCAGAACATTTTGTTAAAAGATTGTCCTCTAAAACTTCTTCTGGTGAGTCATCTTGTATAAACACAGAAGCAAAGAATTCATTAAGAGTGTTTACTATCTCTTGATTATCAGTAGTTATAATACCATTATGTAGCTTTATGGCTTTGATCGAGTCTTTAAATCTTGTTTTGTTGTTTAGATAAGCATAGACACTTTTAGGATTGCTTTTTGAATTAAGTGCCAAGTTTTTTTCAAAATTGCGAATACTTTTCTTGACAAGTTTTTTTATATCTTTATTTAATTTTTTATACTTATTGACTTCTAAAAGACTTTTAAAACCTGAATTTCTGTTTCTAAACCAACATTTTTTCTTTTCTTTACACATGCTTTTAAGTTCACTTGTCATCCATAGTGAGTTATTTTTTAGTT